AAGTGATCAAGCAGATTCACAGCAGGAAGGTGATCCCTCAGATAGCCAGGCCCTAAGCCATTGAGGGATTTAAAGGTCAACACAATGTTTGTTTGTTTGTTTGTTTGTTCCTGGAAAGCAATTGCCAACCTGAATAGACCTTTCAATACACGCAAAATGTGTTCCCTGTACCTCACACCAGTTAGCAGCCTAGCCACAGCACTTTGCACCCTTTGCAATTTCAGTAGTATCTCTGCGTAAAGCACGTTGCAATAATCAAGATGGGATGTAACCAAGATGTGGGTAACAATCACTAAGTCTGATCAGCTCAGGAATGGACATAGCTAGCGAACTCCTTACCACAACTGATAACTGTGGTTCCGGTGACACTAGACGATGAAGGAATACTCCAAGAGGATGAATGTGCTCTTTAAGCTAAAGTGCAGTCCCATCCAAAACTGGCTTCATCTTAATCCCCGAGATCAGTTTTCTCCTTACCAACAGCACCAGTCATCACTGAGACTAGAAAACGTTCAACGTTGCTGACTGCTTCTTTGGAGTTAGATGGTAGGAGCAGGTGAAACGGTCATCAGCATCCTAATGACACTCCACTCCAGTGCTCTGAATGAGCTCTCCCAACGTTTTCAGTGTGGGACACTATAGTTCAGTGTCACCAAAGATTGAGGCCATCCTGTATTTGATGTGATCCATTTAAAAAGTTCTTCCACTTGTCTACCAACCCTCCACTTCAATGCTCTCAACTTCCTGGTAAACTGATATGCTGATTTAGAGCCAGTCTGGTGTAGTGCTTAAGGCATCAGGCTAGAAACCGGGACCGTGAGTTCTAGTCCCATCTTAGGCACAAAACCAGATGGCTAATCTTGGGCCAGTTACTCTCTCTCAGCCCTAGGAAGCAGGCAAGGGCAAACCACTTCCAAAATCTTGCCAAGAAAACTGCAGGGACTAGCCCAGAGAGTTGTCAGGAGTGAACAATTACTCGAAGGAACCAAAAAAAGAAAAAAGAAAAGAGAGAAGACTACCAGGGCCAACTATCTAGGTCAATTCTGTGTTCTAGTGGTCAGCCAGGACTTCAACAGTATCACCAAAAGCTGAAGTGGAAAACTGACCAAACCAAGCACATTCAGGAAGTCATCCTGATCTACTGGGTATACCTGTCAGATCATTTTAACCACTCCTCCATTTCTGCAGAGGTTTGTAGCAGGCACCAGTCTAAAACTAACAAGTGATTTGTTCATAACAACAGAATTTCGGAGAGTTCATCCACCAGCAGATTACCTGTTTTACCCAGTCAGAATACCAAATCCAACATGTGCCCTGCCAATCCATGAGGCCAGATTGTATTAGGTCCATGTTTGCATGACAACTATGAAATCCTGAGGCAACCTCATCATGGATATTGAAGTTTAGGACAAGATATCTAGGCCAGTTTAATGCCCCATCAGCTAATTTAAGAAGAGACACTGTGGTGCAGTGATGCAGAAGGTACACTAATAGTATCCCTACATTAGCCCATCCAAATACAGTAGCAAAAACCCCAGATTGGCAACTATAAGATGCAACTATAACTTCTAACTAGTTAAAGGCACATGGAGTGTAAAGAGGTATTTGTTTTCTGAGTAAGAGTGATAGTTTGTTTCAGTGAGGGCCACAGAAATTAACCAGGGAGTTTAATATTTAGAATAGCCTTCCCCAATCTGTTGACTTCCAGATATGTTGCGCTACAATTCCCATAGTTTCAGTTCAGAAGTTTGTTGGCCATGCTAACTGCATGTTATGAGAATTGTAATCCAGTGCAACTGGAAGATACCAAGTTGAGAAAGGTTGTGTTAGAAAATTGCACTAAGACCCAAGAGACCTCAGTTCTAATCCCCACTCAGCCATGAAGCTTGCTAAATGGCATTAGGTCACTTTTTCATTATCTGCCTAAGCTACCTTATCAGATTATTGTGAGGTTAAAATGTGTACGGAGGTGTATGGTGAGATCCCTGAACTCCTGAAGGAAAGATGTGTAATAGGCTTCCATATCCACAGACATATACATCCATATTTAGTTCTACATATGACCCAAGGAAGGAAGGAAGGTGCTGGTAAGTGTTGCCTTTAATACAAATGTTCAGGCAGTAAGTCTTACTGATAATCTATTAAACATGGTAGCTCTTCATTTATGTATTATTTCTCTCCCTTTCCCAGAAAAACTGTATATTGTATATTTATTTGAGATTATATTTTCAAGTGCTCAATAGGCAAAAAGATGGAGTATAACCAGCAGTAACAACAGTAATAGGACCTCAATGAAATAAAGTATGTATTTGTTTACACCCAAAGTATGTATTCATTTATACCCACCCAAATTATATCTTTTATCATTAAAAAACAAACCCAATTAGATATATACTATATACTACAAGCAATTGGCAGCATGCTAGTTCATCATCAAGGACAAGCCAGGACACCATTTATGGAGGTAGGCTCCTCACTTAGGATCCCTTCACCCAGTTGTCTGGAAGTAGCTTGCAGCTGCCAGCTAGATATCTAGTGCCTCAGGTGTACTAAAGTGGAAATTATTTTAAGAGGTGTTACATCGCCAACTGATTCCAAAGGCAGACTTTTGCACCAAGAGGGTTTGGGAAGAGAGGCAGAAGCTCTCCAACTCAGTCTTGAATGAGTTACTAGGGGAAGAAAAGGTCACAGTTGGGGCGAGCCACTGAAAAAGTCCCTTTCTTGGCATCTGCTGTTCAGATATGGCCAATGAATGTTCAGGCTGCATCTGGGTGTGAATTCCATTTTACGGCAAGGATGCCTCTTCCTCTGCCTAGAGAGGTGGGGTGTACAGTATAACTTTGGTGTAACTAGCTCTCTGGACCCCCTTCCGCTTCTGGTGGGCAGTGGCGGGTGGCATCATTTCTACTGAAGGAAAGTTACCAGCCTCCCTCTTCCAAGTTCTCCTGGCCTTCGGGAGTGCAGAAGCGGGGTGTCTGAGAGGGCGGGGGTTGGAAGGACGGGAGTGCAGAAGCGGGGTGTCTGAGAGGGCGGGGGTTGGAAGGACGTCTCCCTAAAGCCGCCTCGGATTTTCTGTGAGAAGTTCCCCTGCTTTCTTCCTCTTGCCTGGCCCCTGCAACTCTTTTGTGAATGGGGCCAGTGCAACAGGCGGCCTTTCACCCCGCCCAAGAACCAATGCCAGACAGCCACACTTGGAGAATTGTTTGTTAATAGTCCAATTAGATAATTGCCATCTTTCACTCCTTTCGCTCTACATTTCCCATAAAGGCCTGAATGAGGAGAGCAGCGTGAAGAGGGCTTCTGCCCCGCAAGGTGACAAGAAAGGCTGGAGCATGCTCTGTGCACAAAGCCAGGCGCTTGAATTGAATCATTGTCGTCTAATCAATGGTCTTATTGGATTACTGGCTGTTGCGGTTCTCAAAGATATTGTAGCGGAGACAATGAAATAGCCAGGGGGAAACTTTTCTCTCGCTCGCTCGCTCGCTCTCATTCTCCCCGCCCCCTTGAGTAGATCACGCAGTTGAGATCTGCCCCGCACTCTCCTCCTCTCTCCTTCTCTCTCTTGGTTCCATCTGGATACAAAGCAGGCTTTTTTTGAGCGGGGGGGGGGGAGTTGGCCCTGCCCATTTGTTCCATTTTTATGAAGGGGGGGCGGGGGGGGGGGGGGGAGTAGGCTCTGCAAATGTGTTCAATTTTTATGAAAGGCGTGCAGGGGGAGTGGGGGGGGGCATCTACAAGTATCAGCATTGAATTAACGAGAGAAAAGAGTTGTAAGATGGCTGGTAGGCAGTAGAGAGAAGCGTTTAGGGGATCCCTCCAATGTAACACTCTCTTCGCCCTCCTCTCCTCGTCCCCAACAGAGAAACAAAACACCTCTTAATTCTGGGATCGGGAATCCGTACCAAGGCAAACCTCTTTCTCACACACACCCCAACTGGTTGACGGGGTTTCCCTTTGGGGAGGTGACTCGGTGACTGCGGAGATCATCTGCCAAGATCCCTTTGGCCAGCTGCGGGGCCTTTTCCAGATATCTGTGTATTTGTTTTCTGTCTGAGGCGTGTCTGGGATGAACACATTCGGAAATCG